GGCTGACACTGACTTCCTCCTTTCCTGACTCCAGTTCAAGTCTTTCTTTGCTTGTTCTTGGAGACAAGGTTTCTCTATGTTGTGCAGGCTGCTCTGGAATTCCTTCTGTAAATCAGCCTCACCCGGACCTCAGAGATTTGCTGCCCCCCAACCCCAACCGCCCATGGCCCTTGCCCCTCCAAGAGCCTCCAGAGTGCTGGGATTAAAAGATGTGCAAATATCACCAGGGTTCATGACAAGTCTTAAAAGCTCTAAGGCTCTATGTTAGGACTTTGATTCTGCAGGAGGTAGACACATTCTGTGTTGATGCCAAAGACAACTCCAGAACAGAGAGGCAAAGAGTCAAACTAACCTAACACATAGTGAAAGCTAAGTTGGGCTAGAGTGCTCTACTTGTAGGGACAGGGGACATTTCCAAATACGATGGGGGACAGAGGTTGCAAAGGTTTTGGTGGTGTGTGCTAGATTTCAGTCCTGGTGTCTCATAGCTAAATTCTGGCTTGTGCAGGAACTTCTCCCATTCTAACCCTCCTCACTTTTCTTTCACTTCACCTTTTTGAAGACAGGGTCTCACTGTGTAGCTCTGACTGGCCTGGAACTTGCTATGTAGAAGAGGCTGGCCTTAAACTCCCAGAAATCTGCCTCCTGAGTCCTAGGATGAAAGCATGCACCACCATGCCTGGATTTCCCATCACCTCTCTTTATCTTCAACCTATTTCTCCCCATTTTCTGGGCTACTTGGTTCTTGAAATGATGTTCAGTACCTCACTAGGAGTAAGTACCACAGACCATCCTACTACTACACCTGGTGGCTCTTATACTTTCTACTTTCTGCCCATCCTAGACAACATGTAGATTGTTAGTGTGGCCAAGTATAGCCTCAAGGACTAAAAGGTTTCCACAGGCTCAGGGTCCGTATTTTCTCCTTGGAACTAAAACTCTGTCTGCACTGAAAATAGTTCCCAGAAAGGGGAGAAGTAAAGTAGGGTGTCTTAGTTAAGTAATAGAGACAAAAAGATTCATTCTTTCTGGAACCCACAGGCCTTTGACAGGGCAAACCTACCGCATACAGAGTCTTTCTGCCCAAAGTAGGCAGCATCAAAGAGATGGTCAGCTGTTTTCTCAAAGGAGGCCAGCATCAACACACTCTCTTTCATCTTGGCCAGGCCAAACCTGGTAATACCCAGGACTTCACCCTGTGCCAGGGAAGATGGTCAGATAAGTGCCATATCACTTCAGGAAATTCAAAACCAAAGTGGAAGACACCAAAACCAACAGAAACGGTCAAGCAACTATTCATGGCATCACTAAATGCAGGCGGTTTTCAGTGCAGTTTCATAGCCACTGAGGCAGTGATCATTTCAAGGACGAGAAGCCTGACACTTGTCAACTGTACCAGGACACTGTGCCCACAAAATTAGGAATCTAAGTTTTAAAAAGGAGGTTGCGTCTCCTTTCTTATGATCAATAAGCTAACATTGGAAACATTTTACATATCTCCAGTCAAGGAAATGTGCTAAACGTACACAATACCCATACATGACAGGTGTTGTCAGCATCTTATCATGTGTGGGTGAGCTCCACGAAACCTCACCTGATGATTTATAGCCAGGTAGTGGTTGTTAAGGGCAGGGACAGACATATTCTTCAATGGTGTACAAACTGGTAAGATGCCCATGGTCCAGTAAATAACCTTTCCCTCATCCCCTGCCCTTGTAAGCAGCCCTAATGACATTCATTGGGTCATTAAAAAAAAGACATGAAATAGAAGGACTAGAAGGAAGAGGAAGGGGCTAGGGGGAGTAGGAAGTGCACAGAAGATGGTTAACATGAAAGGTCATAATGAAATTCACATTATGCATAAGTATTATATGCTAATCATATTTAGGAAAACTAAATCAATGGCTCATAAGGAAGAATATCCAAGGTTAACCTCTGGCTTCCAAATAGAGGGGCACACACATGTACATACAAAAATAGATATAAAACCTGTATTGCAGGTCCAGTGAAATACCATAAGCATTTTAAAAAAAAGTCAGAGCAGGAGAAGACATACTTGCAGACACCCTCTCCTTCAGGGCTGCCATGGTCAAACCTGGTGTAGTTTATTTTTTGGTGCTGGAGATGAGCACAGGAACTCAGGGATATTTACCATGACTTTGTAATGGCTACAGAAGCAGCACTAGAATTGGGTTAGAGAACTGTCACCCCACGTCATCATGGGAATCCTGGTTTTGGTAATGGCGTTTCAGCTATAGAATAAGACTCAGGACATGGACAAAAGCCATGTTCAAGCTTTTTTCCTCCAATGATGGGCTGTGTTGAAATTCTCACATTGAGAATATACCAAGACAGCTGGTCCCATCAGCACACTTGGGCCTTTGGATGATGACACCTTACTTTCTGTCCTGGTTAGTTCTTACAGAAGTTTGCTTTATATGCCATACATGTTCTCTGGCTCTGTTTGCCAGACAGTGTATCTCAAGACCCCTGACCACCTGGAGCTTCCCTTATCTCACACCTTGTAAGTCATCAGGTCAGAGAGCAGCATCACATGCCTCCTGTTGATGCTCATGCCATGGTTGAACATCGTGTACTGGATCTCGTTAATGATGGTTGTTCGGGCAGCCTCAATGCCCAGAGTTTTCTCCACCTGTGCAGAGCTAGGAGTGAGTGGAGACAGTTCCTTCTGGGAGCTACCCCAATCCTTAATTTTTAAAAAATATTAATCTGACTGACCCCATGGGCATATGGCCATGAAGAACTGGGGTGCCATCCTTGATCTCTGTAGTGAATTGCTCCCCAGGCCCACCTATGGCTGTCTCTCCACTGAAGATTTTTGCCTCACCTTGGGTAGGTCCTCTTTCAGAAACTGCAGCACATAATACATGGAGCTCTTGCTGTTTTCCCTGGGGGTGACACACACCACAGCCTCACCATGAACAGCCACATCGCCAGGCTTCACTCGGAGCTTGGATGTGCAGATGGAGTACCGCACTGTCTCAGCATTCACCTGCAAAGTTCCAGGGGACATTACCAACAGACACCTGCAGACTTCTGTGGCAATTGCTTTCATCCTTGATGTTATGATGGCTTTTTTTCCCTCCAATGTCAGCGTTTCTCTGTGTAGCTCTGCCTGTCCTAGAACTCAATGTGTAGAACTCACTGTTTCCTCTCACTCAGAGATCCGCCTGCCTCTGTCTGACTCAGAAGTCCTCGTAGGCATGTTTGTGCCACCTCTTCTATCACAAAATTTACCTTTATTTTGATTCATGTGTATGTGTGTTTGTCTGTGTGAATATATGTCACCTGTGTGTAGGTACACATGAAGCTAGGAAGAGGGTGTTAGATCTCTTAGAGTTGGAGGTCCAGGAGGCTGTGAGCTACTGTGGGTGCTGGAACATAACTTTTGTCTCCTGGAGAATAGAAAGTGCAATTAACTGCTCAGCCAACACTCCAATACCACAAAATTTTGATATGCTACATGTTTATGTTCAAAACAGGTGTCTGATTCATAAATAGCAGATTCTTTTCACTCAAAGAATGAATATTTTTCTCATTGAAAATGCAGGCCCAACCAATTGCAGCAAACAGAACCAATGGAGAAAGTTCTAAACTGTCTGGAGAACACAGGCAGGAGGACTAAAACATTGCTGTTTCTGTGATAAACTCCCAAATGTAACTGGATTCTTCATTTATCTGGTTCCTAGATAAATCTCAAGATCTTGTACAAACAAGGCAATTCCTCTACTAACAAGTTACATCAGTTGGTAATAAATAAATATTTTTTTCCCAGGCCCACCTATGGCTGTCTCTCCACTGAAGATTTTTGCCTCACCTTGGGTAGATCCTCTTTCAGAAACTGCAGCACATAATACATGGAGCTCTTGCTGTTTTCCCTGGGGGTGACACACACCACAGCCTCACCATGAACAGCCACATCGCCAGGCTTCACTCGGAGCTTGGATGTGCAGATGGAGTACCGCACTGTCTCAGCATTCACCTGCAAAATGCCAGGGGATATTACCAACAGAAACCTGCAGACTTCTGTGGTAATTGCTTTCATCCTTGATGTTATGATGGCTTTTTTCCCTGCCAATGTCAGCGTTTCTCTGTGTAGCTCTGCCTGTCCTAGAACTCAATGTGTAGAACTCACTGTTTCCTCGCACTCAGAGATCCGCTGCCTCTGTCTGACTCATGAGGGTTCAGAAGTCCTCGTAGGCATGTTTGTGCCATCTCTTCTATCACAAAATTTACTTTTATTTTGATTCATGTGCATGTGTGTTTGTCTGTGTGAATATATGTCACCTGTGTGTAGGTACACATGAAGCTAGGAAGAGGGTGTTAGATCTCTTAGAGTTGGAGGTCCAGGAGGCTGTGAGCTACTGTGGGTGCTGGAACATAACTTTTGTCTCCTGGAGAATAGAAAGTGCAATTAACTGCTCAGCCAACACTCCAATACCACAAAATTTTGATATGCTACATGTTTATGTTCAAAACAGGTGTCTGATTCATAAATAGCAGATTCTTTTCACTCAAAGAATGAATATTTTTCTCATTGAAAATGCAGGCCCAACCAATTGCAGCAAACAGAACCAATGGAGAAAGTTCTAAACTGTCTGGAGAACACAGGCAGGAGGACTAAAACATTGCTGTTTCTGTGATAAACTCCCAAATGTAACTGGATTCTTCATTTATCTGGTTCCTAGATAAATCTCAAGATCTTGTACAAACAAGGCAATTCCTCTACTAACAAGTTACATCAGTGCATATTAATCAACTGTGTTATGGGAGTCACAAGGCCCATAGCAAGATAGACTTGACTATCATGTGGGAATTACAAGACTGTAGGACTTGAGAATGGCTTCCAGAAGACTTTCAAGGCTAAGACTTGCTTAACAATTAGAGAGCAAGGGGAAAGTAACAGTTCTCAGTCTGCAATTCCTACCCATGCCAGGTGACCCCCCAGATACGTGTTAACAGTCAAATGTTATCTATCTCCACATTGTTCTTAGCTTTCTGCTCCTCAGAAAAACTAGTTCTTCATGCATTTCACCTCACTCTGGCCTTCTCTAACAACATCCCTGCTCCTCTGACCACCACTGTCAACTTCCATCTTCACAGGCAGACAGTATCCTATGAACACAGGCCTTTGGGACAGATCTGAGTAGCCTACAGGAGCCTAGCAGAACTCCAACCATGTAATATACACAGTTGCTGGTCTATAATCAGGAGCAGCCATTTACCATTTGATGTTATTTTTCTGAAAAATTTAAGAGAATAGGCAAAATGATTTTTATCCCTAAAAACACAATGTCTCTCTAGTTCTAGTCTCCGATCTTTTGAAAACCTGATTCGGTCACTAGGGGCTTACACAGAATGGCTACAAACTGACCAGGAGAAAAATCAATCAGAGTTATTTAGGCATGGAGCAATGGCACCAAAGAGATGAAATGTCTACTACTGACCTAGTGCTCAATACTGCTACCTCATTTAGT